AGAAGGGACCCTGACGATCAGGCGGGGGCTCCTTTTATAGCTTGGGTGACATGCAGTGATGTGATTGTGTGAGGCACCTTTCGATAGGCCCATGGCACTGACTGACTGATGCTGGATCCCGCCTTGTAGAAAGTTCTAGCTGCTGTCTGTCTTTTACACTCATGGCAGAAAGGCAACTATAGTCTGCCTAGCAACCGTTACATAACTTTGTATAACTTTTCTGATTGGTGAACATGGCCACTTAACAAACATAATGATCACAACACTATAGTATATCTGAACTTTTGAGTGCTTCACTTTGCAACCTCTATTCATGTTTTGTTTAACACAGTGGTTTTGTGTGCACATACATAAAACAGCACATGCTCATCTCCCTCCTGTTGTTCACGGGCACTAAATGAGCAAAAACTGACAGTCCAGGATACAGGCAGTGGTAAATTTTTGCTTCTCCTTTGTGTGCTTGCATCGGCATGAAATGGATTTTAAAATCTTTGTTTTCATAGTTCCAACACCTTCATTTGCACTTCGCACTCTAGCTCCTGATAGTCTCAGTGAGACTCACTATGTAAACACAAGCTGGGTCAGAGATGATCTCTTGGATTAATTCCTGCAACAGCTTCAGGACTAGAATGGCAGTTTCTGCAAGACTCTACACGGATAGAATCTCAGTGGGTTCCACAACAAACCCTTTGTAATAAAAGACCTTGAGAAGCTGTTTATTTTCCAGCAGGTGTTCAAGCGTGCCTGAATGGCATTCGTCCTAGTCAGGACACGTCTAAATGAAATGTGCAACAGTGAGCTAACCACGCTGGCTTGTTTTTAATACCGTATCATTTGATTGGTATATGTAAAGTAGCCAAAGTTCCATATGCAGAGAGATGTGTTTGCTTTATATAGGGTCATTAGAAAGGGCAGGAGGTATGCCTTTCTCATGATCAAGTGGAAAGAGGTTTCTGGAGGTATCCATCTCACCGAGTTCCTGCTGAAATTATTATTTTAATGCTGCTAGAATGTTGTATTTTGTGTATCAGTAATGATTTGGTAGGGTGCCTATAGCCTTTTGATAAGAGTGGCCTTGGTTTTTAGATTTAACCATTTAATTATTCATTAAAAACTTAGTTGGTTCCCTTGTTTCTGAACATTATTCAGATATTCTGGTGAGTTGCCTAACAGCAGTCATTTCAGAGGTATTGTTGGACTCATATGCATGTCTGAAAACTCAAAATGGAGGCATAGAAGAGCTTTCTATGTATATTTAGGATAACTTTATGTATGCAGCATTTTCAAAAGAACACTGATGGTTTTGAGTAGCTAAGCACGCAAATTGCCTGTGAAGGGAAATGTCATGGTTCTGTGCAGACATTCATTTGCTTAGCAGGGTGAATGCTCTTTGCCTCTGAAACACTGATTTGCCTGTGGCTCCCAATTTTGTCCATGGCTTCTACTGAACTGTACATTTTCTATTGTTCTTTGATCTGTGCATTGTTGAGGTTTGATGGCTATTTTAAGTATAGGTTATTCCTGAGCTTTCATATGGCACCTTTCCTGATTTCTGTATAGTGTCATGTCACTGATATAGCTTAACTGTTAATCAAGTGGGACTGTTTGCTCACTTTGATATTCTTTCCTTCTGTATTAGAGCAAACAGGAAAAAAATGACTATGCTGCACATTACTCACCGTACATTGATCAAGTGGAAGCTCCGCAGACATTATTAAAATTTAGGCATACACCCCCTGTTAAAGCACCACATACCCCAGTTTGAAAACCACTGCACTAAATGGAGTAATCTCATTGCCGCGCATTGCCATTGAGGTCAACGCCTGTTGGTGTCAAGTGTAGGAGTATGAGTAGCATTTTGCAGGTAAAGGGGTACACGGCCAAAAAAGCTTAAACTACTGATTTTGTGTATGCAGTCAAGTTAAAATGGAAGCCAGGACCTGATGAGTTGCCTGTGTTGGAATGCAGAGAAATGAGTCATGGAACCTGGCAGACTCCATGTCACACGCTGTCATGAAATCTCACAATTATCTTCTCCATCACTTCAATATTTTTTCTTCTTCCACCCCCTCAAAAAATTGAGCAGTATTGAACACCCTCATTTTTCATGAATATATGTATAAATCAAGTAAAAACATTTTACTTTGAGTTCTGATTGGAAGGATGAGGGTCCAGAAATGTACAACAGTTGGTTTCATGATATACTGTTCTGTAAGGTGAACCTTCTGTATTGTGTTCCATCTTTATGATAGATGTATAAAACGTGGTTATTAAAATGATACTGCTCCACTTTTTTGTTAACTTTCTACTCAAGTTCCTTTTGATAATTTCAGACTTATTTTTAAGGCTAGTGAAACATCAAGTAAATGACAACTTCTAGCTGGCCTAAGCTGGCTCACACTCTAGTCAAGCAACTAGAGCTCCACCCACTCACACCATCAGAAATTTAGCCTTATGCATTGAACAGCATTACTTCAAGTGCTTTTAAAAATGTAACAAAGTTTGACACCCAGGACTGCTCTGTGAAGCAATTTTTATATAAATATATAGCGATTTGTATTTTATTGCAGTAAAATGGTTTGTAAACATCTCCTTTTTGTCTTGTTCTCTTTTCCAGCAGCTTGAATTAGTGGAACCAAGTGGCTGGATTCATGTTCCTTTAACTGATTCTCATAAGAAGCCTATTCGCACCTTTATGATTCAGATTGCTGTTTTAGCCAATCACCAAAATGGAAGAGACACTCACATGAGACAAATTAAAGTGTATACCCCAGTGGAAGAGAGCTCCATTGGAAAATTTCCCAGATGTACAACAATTGATTTCATGATGTATCGTTCCATAAGGTGAATCTTCTTATAAAGGAATAATAAAAGGGAATTTTTGTTATCGGTATTGTTTCAACTTTTTTCATTACAAGTCTCACATTTTTTATTTTTGTGTAATTATATCTGTACAGTTCTATTTTTTTGTATAGTTTTTAAATAAAGACTTTAAGAATCTGCTTGATATTTGCATTTTCTATCCATTATACTTACAAAATGTTCATGCTTTTAATGATCAAAAAGCATATTAAGATATTTCTCATTTGTGTCCATATGAAATGGGTAACTGGTGCCTGTAACATGGAAAAAGTACTTTCCTGATGATTTTCTTTTCACTAGGATACTTTACTTTGGTATTATGAGTTTGTTTGGGATCTTAAGAAACATTCTTTAGGCACAGTTCTTTAATAGATTACTATGATTCTATTACTTCTATCGCTGTGTGTAGAAAATTTCTTTTTAAAGGTATTGTATCGAGCATATATTTTCACTGTTGAATGGAGAATGTCTCATTTCTGATGAGAAGTGTATTGTTTTAAGTCTTTAATTTTTTTCCTTCTGCTAAGTCGCTGTGGTTTTCTCTCTTTTACATAAAACATTAAGTTAAATAGTTTAGTGAAAGAAGGTAAGCTTTTTCTAACCCTGTATTCTGTATGACTGGTGCTGATAGACTATAACCATTACATCATTCTAATGTAACAATAGAAATGCATGGAATGTGCAGACGCCATTCCTCTGCATCACTTCTAAGCACCCTTTGAGATTCCATTGATCACAAAAAATATTAAGAATTCAAGTAATCTGTATAATGCAGAGCAATGTCACACTTAAGTCATGGAGTTTCTTAAGAGAATAAAAAAGTTGAAACATTTTGACATAATACCACAGGGCAAACCCCAAATCTACGTGTGATCTATTTATTAATAAAAAGGAATACATAGCTTGAATGTGGCTTATAGTTTTGTACAGTAGGTAAATCCCCCATAAAAAGTGGAATCAGAAAAGTAATTTTTTTTCTTTGTAAAATCTGAACTGCAAGGATGGAATTTTAAAAAGTGTTCACAATTGGCCCTCTTTCTTCTGATGGGAAGGTACTATTAACTTCTACCTCATCAGGAGAAAATTTAGGCCATAAGTTTTGCAAATCATCCATCAAAAACTGAAGAAAATTAAACTGTGAATTAGATGACTACCATATAAAAAAGCCAGGGTGGAAACTAAAGAAAGGACTAGACTAGAGCAGAGGGAAGAAGGCGTAGGAGTAGAGGGAACAGGAAGGTAAAGCAAGCAAGAACTTAGATCAATTGTTTGTTATATTTTAAATACTGTCTCCATACACGTGTACAGACAAACACATACAAGTGGGCAATTTTATCCTTTGTGCCTTCTAAACAGTAGGTTTTTGGTAGAGAAATTTCCCGCCCCCCCCATTTTGGCCTTAATACAGAGGCCCACAGTGACTTCAGTGGGTCTTATTTTTCTCTATGATGATATTTTAGCCTTATCTATTGAGATTGCTTAACTATACTTCTGGTCCATTAGTTCTTGCTTTTTTTCACTTTCACTGTCTCATGAAAATTACATTTTCCTGTCTGAAATGTTTAACTACCTAGACCATGGGTCTTAATCTTTTTAGACTCAAACATGCTTTGGTTTTTATTTGCTCTTTGACTATGGGAAAAATACTAAAGTAATTCTTCTGCTGTAAAGAATTCAGAAAGACCACAACAGTTTTTTGGGAGTTTGTGATATGGGATCGGTGAGCTGTAAAGCTATCTGTAAAACAGCTCAATCCCAGAGGATTTCATTTCTGAAAAACAAAAAGAAAATGTTAACTGAACAAAGTAGGCAACCATTGATCCTCTGGGTCATGGTGTATGCGTAAGAGATTTAGTCAGGTGCTTGATGAATCAAAATGTACAGAGTCCTGTGATCGTCACAGAAGCCTTCACTGTGTTTGCCTAAGTAAGAGGATGGAGGAGTGAAGGCTGCCCAAGACCTACCCCCTGCTTTCTGTGAGCAACAGCTAAGAACAGTACATGCAGTAAATCTCTATATGTACTGTATTAGAATTAATGGAAGCATACTGATTTGCTGCAGACTGGCTTCTGAGGAAAGTGGCTACCCAATAGAGGCATCTGTTATGGACTGTCTTTAGTGATGCTAGGCATCAGACTGGTTGCCAACATATGAATAGCCTTTCTCTGCATTACCAACCTCCAAAAGATGTAAACATTCTTGAGTTTAGAACAAATGTATTGTTAAAAGCACTCTATGAATTCAGTAATATTTTAAACGTTTACATGTTGGCTACTTATGAATTTTGAATACATAAAGGTAGGCCAAATATAAAATAACTGGGAGAGCTTAAAGTTTTAATCTAGGCAATAGGAATAGGATTAACATCTCAGTTAACAACAAGCAGCTTCCTTTGCAACATTCTGTAGTGGATTGTGTTCGGATGAGGGTGATGCTTTACTGCGTACCCCAGTACTATTCATTTTATTCTCCCCATCTTAATTCCTGTTCAAGAGACAATACTGGGGAACTGGCACTAACTCAGCAGATATGAGCTATCACTATAGATTGTGGAAACTGTGATATAGAGCTACATCAGCAAATAGGGAAAGTTAATTTTTTTTTCTTGGAGTTCGAGATTTAGATGCATGTCACAGAATTGAAAACTAGGGCATTCTCTGCCTGCTTAAAATATGGTTCCCTCTTTTTTTAATTCTATGGACAAACTTACCAGTAATCTACCAGCTGCCCAATAAGTCTTTTCTCTTCCCATGTGTTGTTTTTTTACTTTAAAATGGACAAATATCACAGATGCTCACACGTTTGCTTATTGTACTTGCTAAGAACTATAATAGCCTTGTACGTTGTAGTAAGACTACGTCAGCGCTTGGCTAACTTATCTGAAAAACCGCCAAAACAAACAGCATGTGCAAAGCCTCAGGTGACAAACTATGATGACTGTTTGTCTTAAATAACTTTGGTACATGGGAGTGGGAAAAAGGGTTATGAAAAAGTAAACAGAAAAACACCCACCACTAGAAAAGGTTGTTATACAAAGAACGCATAGTGCATTTGTTAAACTAAAATACATCATTGTATTAGCTTATATAGAGCCAATTTACTGATTTAAAGAGATTCAAGGTTTCATATTCATTGTATTAGCTCTGATGTCGCATCTTTATAACTACTTACTGTTGCACTAAAGATTGTATACAAAGTTTGATTGGGAGTTAAAACTCTACCTTAAGTCACTTTGACCATTTAACACTTTTTTTTCTAAAAGTTCCTTTAAGTAATGTCTTATGTGAATATTCCAGTGTGATATCAAACCTGTCACTCACTCACGTATTTAGTTATTTTAATTAGTAAGCAGACATCTTGTTTTAACATTCACATTTCTTTCTACATAATGAATCATTTAATAGTCTGACTGGCTCTCTCAGCTGTCATTGTGAAGTCTTTGCACAAATGCATTGTACCTCCATGTTTTTAAGTTTCTTACACTCAGCTACAATCACACGGCCTTCCCTACAGGCCCATAAATAACTCCCCAAACTGTTTTTACAGGCCTTTGCTATAAAGCCAGATATCCTCTTTGCACTGGCACTCTTCTCCATCTGGAGACCAAGATTATAACAGATGATTTCCTGTTATTACTGTAGCAGTATCAAAATCTGATTACTTACTAAGTAGTAGGTTGTCCAAGAAACTGAAGTGAGAAGTTCAGCCAGCTGTTTGTTTTTCAAGTGTTATAAAACTTTTAGGAATTGCACGTTAAGTAGATGCCCAGAATAATACTACTGGGGAGAGGAGGTGGAGCCAGGAGGCCACCTGTGTTGCATGACGATCTGTTGCAGCCTGGTCTGAGCATCTGATGATTTATTGTCCCTTGTGATGAATTTATTAGTAGAAAGTGGATGGAACTGTACTAAATGCTTGTAAAAAATGAGCGTGCTTTAACTTCTTTTTTTTTTTCTTGGTTAGTTGAAGGGGTATTGTAGAAAAACAGTGAATTCAGGAAGGATAAACCTTCATCTAGAACAGGGGTCAGCAACCTTCAGCATGCATACCACGTGAGGCTATTTTTCTTAGCACACCTTAGCCAGCCCTGCTCTGGGCAGCTGCTGCCAGCCACAAAGCCCAGGTGGTGCCCTGGCCCCTTCCCTGCTGTTCACCCTGAGGTGAGCATGCAACCACAGCCACCACTGCCACAGAGCCTAACCGGGGCTCTGGACCCTGGTGCAGCTGTTTGCAGCCTCCCAGCTGCCTGCCACAGCCAGCCTGGGCTCTGAGCAGCTACGGCAGGCAGCAGGTAGGTTACAGATAACTGTACTGGGGTCCAGAACCCTGGCACTGGTTCTATGGCAGTGGCAGATGCATGTTCACCTCTGGGCAAACAGCAGGGAAGGGGCCAGGACAGCGCAACTCCAGCCCCTCCCCTGCCATCCACGCAGAGGTGCGTGCATTGCCTGCAGTGAGGATCAGGTTCCTCGTAGCTCCCCTGGCACCTGCCTCTGGCATGCCAAGTCGAGGTGTGGGTAAAGGTTGGGGTGTTTTGGCACTCTGGCCAAGAACATTTCTGACCCCCGATCTAGAACAGTGTTTTTCTTTTTAGAACACTTTCTAGTATTTGTCAGTTAGCCCATTGAAGTCAATTGGGAAATTCTTATCTATTTCACTGAGTTCTGGATCAAGCCTCTCAAAGGATTAGAGGGAAGGTAAGTTTTGGTTTTTCTCAATAATTTTCTTGCCATAAACTTTAGCTATGTTCAGTTTTGGTTGCATTTCTGACTGGGAAGTGTCATTTTAGATGTATTGAGTTAAGCTAACAATTCTGCTGTTAATATTGTCAATACAAATTATTTGTTGTACCAGATCTAGGGAAGTAATCCCATTAAAAATATCTTGTACTAATGCATTTTCTTCATATAATATAATAGAGTGATTGCAGTTCACATGGTGGCTGAAAACCTGGGAATTTTCTAACCGGCAAGGTCTGAAAGCAAACCTGAATTTAACTTACAGTATTCTAAGGAAATTCCTAGGACAGCTACAAAATGATACCATTATCCAAAAACTGACAGAATAAACCTTGAATTTTACTTTTATTTTTTTTATTAATAACAAGTAACATTTGAAACAAGCCACAGAAATAATGGAAGTTCACAGAACAAAATAAAAAGGCACAAAATCCTTAATAAAAGGAGCGCACAGTATGTTATCACATAACTAACAAAACATTTAGCAGTCATCAGCTTGACCATTGTATTTGTATCCCTTACCAAATTTCCACACCTTTTAAATTGTCTTTTGTCATATCATATTGTATGTGGTTGAGCAGGGGTGGCCAGCATGTGGCACACATGCTACAAGTGGCACAGGCAGCTTCTGTGTACAGTATGCAGAAGATTGGGGAGGGAGCAGGGAACACAGCAATAGGTAGAGCAGGGAGCAGAAAGCAGAGCAACAGACTGGGCAGAGGGCACAGGGCAGGGAGCAGGAAGCACAGCAACATATTGTGCCAGGGGCAGGTTTACCAATCAGCAAACTTACTGATTCTTAGTTTAAAAAAAATAAAGGTTAAAAATGGCTGTCAGTAAAATCTGTAAAAAAAAAAAAAAAAAAACCCAAAAAACAACCAAACATAAAAAAACATTAGCTGTTAGTAAAAACACTAAGCAGCTGCAGCCTGCTTGAAGCTGCATCAGACAACATAGC